CGCTAGGGGCCGTCCGGGCCCCCCGCCCCGGGCCGGCGGCGGCACGGGGATGCTGGCGCTGGGGCAGATGGACGGCGCGCCCCGGCAGGGCGCCTTCCTGCTGGGCAGCCCGCCGCTGGCCGCCCTGCACAGCATGGCCGAGATGAAGGCGCCGCTGTACCCCGCGTACCCCCTGCCCGCCGGGCCAGCCTCCTCCTCGTCCGCCTCCGCCTCGCCCGCCTCCGCCTCGCCCTCGCCGCCGCTCGGCTCCCCCGGCCTCAAGGCGCCCGCCGCCTCCGCCGCCGCCGCGGGCGGGCTCTCGGCGCTGGGCACGGCCCCGCCGCAGCTCTCGGCCGCCACCCCGCACGGCATCAACGACATCCTCAGCCGGCCCTCCATGCCCCTGCCGGGCGCCGCGCTCGCCTCCGCCTCGCCCTCCGCTTCCTCGGCGGCGCCCGCCGGGCTGCTGGCCGGGCTGCCCCGCTTCGGCAGCCTCAGCCCCCCGCCGCCGCCGCCGCCCGCCCTCTACTTCAGCCCCGGGGCCGCCGCCGCCGCCGCCGCCGTGGCCGCCGGGCGCTACCCCAAGCCGCTGGCCGAGCTGCCCGGCCGGACGCCCATCTTCTGGCCGGGGGTGATGCAGAGCCCGCCGTGGAGGGACGCCCGCCTGGCCTGCGCCCCCCGTGAGTACCCAGCGTGGCGGGGCAGCAGGGGGAGAGCGCGGGGAGCCCCGGTGGGAGTCCCGGTGCGAGGGAGTCCCCGCGGCCCGGCATCGCTGTAAGACCCTTCCGCCCCTCCGCCCGGCCGTAGCCGAGGGGGCTGGCTTTGCCTCGATTTCTTTTATTTTCCTTTCTTAAGTTCGTTTTGCTTTCTCCGTCCCCTCGGTCAGCACAGAACTCTGGTAATATGTCGCCGATTATCGCCGGCGAAAAGCGAAGCCCTCCGAGGGGAAATTGGCAGCGCTGCCGCCGCCGCTTCTGGGGACGCTCGGAGTCGGGGTTGGCTTTAGGGGCGCGCAGAAACTTTCCCCGAGCAGGACTTTCTGCTACCACCCGCTCGCACCGGGCACGGCTTTCAAAGAAAAAAATATCATTTGCCCGCTCAGATTTTTGGTCCTTAAAGGAAAAATAATCAGGGAGAGCCGAAAGGCCAGAGCCGTCGCCTGGCTTAGGCAGTAGTTTTCTTACACACTCACCCCCCGCGTAGGGACCCCTCCGTCCCCTGGGGCCGCTTGAGAGTGAAGCGCTTTCCCAAATCCGTAGATTAACTTGTCTGTCCCTGCCTTCCCTTTCTCTCCCCCCTCCCTTCGCCAGATCAAGGCTCAATTTTGCTGGATAAGGACGGAAAGAGAAAACATACAAGACCCACTTTTTCTGGCCAGCAGATTTTCGCTCTGGAAAAGACTTTTGAACAGACGAAATACCTGGCGGGCCCGGAGCGAGCCCGGCTGGCCTATTCCCTGGGGATGACGGAGAGCCAAGTAAAGGTGAGAGCAGCAGCTCCCGCACCGAGTGCTGCGGGGCTGGAGGAGCGGGGGACAAAAGGGCCCCACTGCGGAAACGGGGTCCCGTCCGAACCAGCCGGAGATGCTGCGGGCTGGCGTGGCCGAGCCCGCGGGCACACGGCGAGGGCTTCCCCGGCAGCCACCGGCATTTCTCCCCTCGTTGCCTTACTGCGGGGCCGAGAGGGTTGTTTTATACCCTTTTAAAAACCAATCAAATTGAACCAAACAAGCTCAAGCAAGACTGAGAAGCCCTGAACACCATGGGGTGGCCAGCGCTCTGGGAAAGCCGGGGAAAGGGTGGTGTTAGGGTGTCGCACTGCCGCACCCGCACTCTTACGTTTTGGTTAAAAACTCTGTGCTTTGGGCAAAGCGGAGGTGTGAGGGGCTGGGAGAGCGGGCTGGGCTCCCCGAGAACATGCAGAGGCGTTTGCTTGGCGGACTGGGCCGGAGGGGCCCCTCGGCCGTGCTCACGCTTTCAGTCTGATCCGCAGAGCCTCCTTTGTCACAGCAAATACGTCCCGATGGCTGCGAATAAATTATTGCAGCTTCCGCAGTGAAAATGCCCCCCTCCTCTGGCAGCGCCCTGCCGGGGACTAAATACATCTGGCGGGGGAGGGGGGCTGGGAGAGGAATCAGCCCCAAATGTGTGTTTTGCTGCCCCAGGCAGGATGGCAGGAGCGGGCCTCGGGGGGCTGGGGACGGCTGCTGGCCCTGCGGGGTGGGCCCCGAGCCGGGCCGGGTGTCGGCGGCTGCCGGGGCCGCGGGGATCGGCCGCTTTCGTTGCGGGGAAATTGCCCGAAGGGCGGCGGAGCGGAAAGCGCTCCGCACGCCGGGGATGGGGACGGACGGGGCACGGGGGGAGCGACCCGGTGCGGCCGGCGCAGGTGGCCGTGCCGGGGGTGCTGACGGTGGCGGCGGGGGCAGGTCTGGTTCCAGAACCGACGGACCAAGTGGAGGAAGAAGCACGCGGCGGAGATGGCGACGGCAAAGAAGAAGCAGGACTCGGAGACGGAGCGGCTGAAGGGCGCCTCGGAGAACGAGGAGGAGGACGATGACTACAACAAGCCCCTGGACCCCAATTCGGACGATGAGAAGATAACGCAGCTCCTGAAGAAACACAAGCCGGGGGGCGGCGGGCTGTTGCTGCATCCCCCGGAGGGGGAGGCCTCCGTCTAGCCTGCTTCGCCCGCCGCCGCTTTCGGAGATGTACAGATCTATTTTTCTAGACTCTACGCGCCCGGGAGGAGGAGGAGACGCCGCAGGGAGAGCAGCCAGAGAGGACTGCGGGCAGCGGGCCCCGGCGGGCGCGGCCGCTCCCCCGGCCGTGTGTTGTTGTAGGGTGGCGGGCGGAGGGCAGCGGCGGGGGCGGCCCGAGCCCGGCCCCGCTCCCGGCCGCGCCTTTGCCGCCTCTTTGTAAATAAACCGTGAGTCACCGCGACCATAGGCGTTCCTTACTGTGAATATTTAAAATGTAATATACGTTCTTTTTTTTTCCTTTTTTTTTAATTTTAATTTTTTTTTTTTGTACAGCGGGGCCGAGGGCGCAGCCGTCCTGCCCGCCCCGCGCTCCCGGCAGCACCGGGGGCACCGCGGCAGCCCCCGAGGAAAAAGCCGTCGTGGCCGCCACAGGTCCCTCCCTCGGGCCGAAACTGCGGCGGCCCCGCGTGCTATTTATTAGTATTTTTGAAACAGTTTCTGTTACGGTCGTCGTGAAAAGGAGGGGGGTGGGCGGGGGGAGAGGGCGGAGGGACAGAGTTTGCTTTCATTTACACCGTTTCCAATCAACCGCGCGTTGAAAAAGTAGCTGGTGGGAATTGTCACAACCACTGTCAGTCAAAGTATAAAATTCATTTAGTTGCTGTATTTGAATTTAAAGTGTGTTTTCTTTTGTATCATACCGAATACTAGAGAATGTAAATTGTTTTTTCTTTTTTTTAAAGCTAATAACGATGACATATCGTGATATAGCATCTTAACATTTATTAATTTATATTAAAAATAATTCGGTTTGTAAAGAGAAGAAAAGCCCTTTGCAAGACCAGTTAAATGTAATGCACTTTCTGTTAAAAAAAAAGCAAGCAAAACAACAAAACGATAAATCAATTAAACCAGTTTAAAGACGTCTGCTGCCTTCACTAAAGGGTACAGATAATCTCATTTTATCAGAGATTAAATAATGAAACCACGGTGCAGGGGGAGGAAAAAAAAGAGAAGAGATAATTTTCATGGTCTTCTGTTGATTCTTAATAGCAGGGTTTTTGTTGTTGTTTGGCTTGTTTGAAGACTTTCGGGCGCTTTTTTTTTTTTTTTTTTTTTTTTTTAAAGATTGGAAGTTGACCATTTTGCTGTGGGAGTTCAAGAAGGATACAAATAAAATAAGCCGCTGGTTGCTCGGGAACGTGAGCGGGCAGGTAGTTTCCACCCAGCCGCTGGAGAGGCTCGGCTCAGCCTAAATTAGGCTGTTTCAACTTTCTCAGAGGCGGGCGACGCAGGGCTTTATTAACGGCACAGTGTTACCATTATTATGGGAAATAAACCGCTTCCCAAGAAGAAAACAATGGATAAAATAAGAGCCCGGCTAAGTGTCTAGAACAAATAGACCCAATACCAGAACAACTGCTTTAAATTGAGACTCATTATCTGAAGCGATCATTTCCATATCTAAGCAGTCCAGGAACAATCGGGTTTTCTTTTTTTTTTTTGTTTTTGTTTTGTTTTTTTTTTCTCCTCCCAAGGACCAGCAGAGCAAACAGAATCGCTGATATGAGACAGAAAAAGGTCCAGCTATTCTGGAGGAGATAAATAAATAAATAAATAAATAGAGAATAATTTTCTAAACAGAAAGGAAAAAGGGAAGAAAAAAAAAGGTAGAGCAGGGTTTTATTCCTCTTTCGGCTTACACAAGCCGGGGCCGGAGGAGGGAAGGAGCCCGGCGCTCTGCGGCTGCCCCGGCGCGGCTGCCCCGGCTCTCCCAGGCCGGGCACCGGGGCTGCCCATGGCCCACCGGCACTCCCACCCCCACCCCCATCTTTCCCACTAGTTGTGGAGGCAGGAAGGGAAAGGCCGGTGGTTTCCCAGAGAGCTGGCTCGGCCCTGCCGGCTCCCGCCGTTGCGATGTCCCCGCGGGTTTTGCGGGGCGGCGGCAGAGAAATCCAAACACCGCGGGGTCGGGAGCGCCGGGCCCCGCCGGAGCCCGGCTGCGGGTCTCGGCCCGCACCCTCAGCCCCGTTCCCCGGCAGCCGGGTCCGGCCCCTGCCCGCCCCCTCCCGAGCCCCCCGGGCTGCTGCGAGGGCTCCGGCCGTCCCCGGCCGCTTTTCCAGCTCGCCGCAGCACCGCCTGAGGCTTTCCAGTTAATTTACTTCTGCACAGAGACCCAGCTGGCCACCAGTTGCAGTTGGCACCGCCAAAGTGGAATGGCAGGGAAGAAAGCCCAACGCTGTCCGCTTGGTTAGGCTGGTTTTGTCTCGGGCGCTGGAAGAAAGAGCAGGGGATTCACACGAGCTCGCGGCCCCCCTTTTCGGGACATGTTTTGGAAGCCAAAGCCGGCTGGGCTCCTTCTCCTCCAGGAAAGGACTTTTTAGGAAGAGATTCAATAGCTGACTCTGGATCGCTGCCACGGACAGCACGGTGAACAATTAAAAGACAAATGTCAGCTGGCTTCACGGGGCGCGAGGTTCCCCCCGGGCGCGGGGGCCTGGCCGAGATCAGCTGCAGCTTCGGCTCAGTCCTTCATGCGGGCAGGGATTTGTGGCGGCACTGTATAAACTCCGGGAAAACGACATTTTAAAAGTGCTGCAGAGCAGTGTCCATAGGGAATGGACACAGCTCGGGCCCGGGCCGAACCCCCGCGGGGAGGAAGCAGCCGCGCACACGCGTGGGGAGCGGGGCTGGGCGGGAGGCCCCTGCCTGAGCGGCGAGAGAGCACCGCAGGCCGCCCCCGACAGCTCCCTTCGCACACGGCTTTTGGCTTTCCTTTGTCGCTGAGCCCTCGGTTTTAAACCCCTCTCCCTTCCGCGCGCGGAACTTCCAGGCTCAGCGGAAACAAAAGCAGCTGTTTCTGGGATTTCCCGGCTCAGGGGAACGAGAGGCGGCTGAGTTTACCCTGCCTCGGTCCCTGCCATGTGCCTTCTCTGGGGTGCAGAAGATATTCCGGGAGAAGTTCCCGGCTGTGCAATCCCACAGTGCCCAAAGCATCCTCCCCACTTTTCCGACGCCCCTGCTTTGTGGAGGTACTTCGCAAAAGAAACCCGCTGCGGTCCGTCTCCAGCCCAAGCGAGCGTCCCCAGGGACAGAGGAAAAACTTTTTCTTCCCTGTAGGAGCGCCCCAGGCACCGGACCCACTCCGCGCTGTGCAACATCCATGGGCACCGCGGGACTGCGAGGAGGGATGGAGGGATGGAGGGAGGGAGGCAGGGGAGGCACGGGAAACAAAGGGGGCCGGGGGCCACCCCACCGCCCGCACCCACTCCCGGGCGGCAGCTGCTGCCTGCGGGACGCATGCATATGGATGTGCGCATATGGACGCGGGCAGGATCCGCACCGCAGTGCCACGGGAGGGACACAGGTTACAAGGGGAAGCCCACGGCCGGCGGGCGGGCGGGAGTGGCCGCTGGGAAGGGGGAAAGGAAGAGCTCTCCGCTCTCCGCGGGATAGCGAAGGGGTCGCTTTACTCGGGGCGTGTGCGCTGGGGAGAAGCCAGCCCGTAGGCCGCTGTCACCCCGTCCCCGACAAGGCCACACACCAGCGCTGTCACAGCCCGAGGCCTTCGGGCTCTCTCATTCGCACAGCATCCCACCCCGAGCCCCCGGCGCAGGCGGCAAGGAAGGCAATGCCTACACCCTGCCAGAGGGATGTCCACACCGACAGCCACGCGGGGACAGCGCGACCGTTTCAGCGAGCGATGGCTTCTCCCGCCCTTTCCCTCGCGTGGGGTCTCTTGTGGTGAGCTCCTGAAATCCCGTTATCGCTCATCACTTCTCAGTGCTATTAATTTTTAACACTTCCCATATAACCCGCACGCCGTCTTCCCTCCGCTCTCGCTCCGTTTGCTGCGGGAGTGTTATTTCGTGCAAGACTTTCGTTGTATCCCTGCCTTGAGGCTTTTTTGCTTTACGCACCCCTTCCCTCGGGACATGACTCGTCCCTCATGTCAGAGTACCCGGCGGTTAAAATGAGGGCCATGGGCTTTCACCCCCGGCCCGGACACTCCGAGACAATTCCCGCATCTCGGCCGCGGGGAGAGGGACCGCTGGGAGAGGCGCTCGCTGCAGGACGCACCTCTCAGAGCCGGCGTCGCTAGCCGCAAATTAAAAAGTGAGATGAACTGCTCCCTCCTAATTGCAGCTCCGCCTTTACCTTCTGCACCGACAGGTACTTCCCAGATACGCCTTTCTGGCGGCGTTTGCCAGCTGTCTCCAACAGCGGCTGCAAGTCTCCGTGAGGGATGCAAACATCTGCCGGGGAGGAGGAGGAGGCGGCGCTGCCGCGGGAGCAGCGGGCACCGCACACCGCACCCGCACCGCGCCCGCAGCGCTCCGCGCCCAGCCAGCGCGGCTGGTACGAGTAAAGTTATTTTACAAGGGCACGAGCAGGCGGCACGGCGCCTCTCCGCATCCCGCGGGGGCTCAAGCCTTCCCGGAGAGCCGGGGGCCGCTCGGGGCCCGCGGGCTGCGGGCAGCGCCTGGCACCGGCCCCGCGGCAATAACCCGCTTCCGCACACGCCATGCATCCCTGTAATAACGTCCTCGATCATTTATTAAAAGTCGTGTCAAGCGAGCCCATATAATTCATCTTTATGCAAATACATCAATGTCAAGCCATTAGTGTATTGCTCGGGTTTTTTATTAAAGTGCATTCTTTTTAATTCAGCTCAGTAAAATACGAGCCCTATTGCTCAAGAATTATAGCAACTATTAGAGTAACATATGGGCAACATGCACTCAGAAAATAAAAATCAACAGATAAAGTGGCAGGGTCACAACGGGGAGCAAACACTTAACAAAATGGCAGCGGGGTAATAGATTTTCCTCCCGCGCCCCCGGCTCTGGGGTGTCAGGAGGATGCGATGGTGGGGCGGCCCTGCCCGGAGCCCGCAGCCATCCCCGCCCGGCTCCGGCCCCGGCACCTTCCCCGGTCCCTTCCCGGCCGGGACTGCGGGAGCGCAGCCCTGCCCCACAGGCGCGCACCTCCGCACCGCCCCTTCCGCACCCCCCAATCCGTCCCGGATTTAATGAGAGAGTTGCCCACATCCTCATCACCCCAGCATGGTAATTGAGCAGATCTATTAACTTGTTACACTAGATTTGTTTAAAGAGACTATTACACAGTCATTTAATCAATTTGTTACACTGGAGGTCCTGACTTATGAGACACTTGCCGTATGATTCCTTAATGACTGAATTAATTTGTTTTAATAAAACCAACATTGTGTACAAGCACATTTCGA